CAGTATATGGGTCTTCGACACCAGCATGTGAACATATTTTGATGACATGCATAAATCATGTTGAACTAGAAGCTACTCTTCGACCCAATAGATTTCGATCTAATATCTCACAAATCTCCACCTTGGAATAAACTCTAATATCAAAGAAAAAACTAGCTTTCTTCTTGCAGCTTCATCAAATGCATACAATGGAAAAACTTATAACTTCGCAATGTCTTGGTGATCATATCAGTAGCATTGTAATCTGTCAAAACCTCCAGCACTTAGACTTCTCCATGCTCGATTACCCCAATGACAAAATACGACCTAACATCGATGTGCTTGGTTCGCTCAAGATAGGTTAGGTTGTTCGACAGGTGTATTACACTTTGGCTATCACATTTAACAGTGATAACTCGACCTTGAAGTTCCAGCTCCTTAGCAGAACCTTCAAGCCACAACGCTTCTTTCACAACTTTAGTGAGGCAATATATTATACTTCGGTGGTTGATAATGCGACAACCTTCTGAAGTGTTTCTTTGTAACTAATTGTTGTACCAAACATAGTGAAAACATATTCATAAATAGATTTTCTGGAATCCATACAACCTGCACAATCAGAGTCGACATATCCTTCTGGTTGACTTATCAGGATTGTCTCATCTAGATCACCATACAAGAATGCAGTCTTCACATCCATTTATTCCAGTTCAATGTTGAACTGTGCCACCATGGCAAGCAACATTCGAATGGACGCGTGCTTCACAATAGGAGAAAACACATCATTGAAGTCGACACATTCTTTCTGAGTGATACCCCTTGCAACCAACCTTGCCTTGTATTTCTTCGACTCCACTTCTTTAATTCCTTCCTTAACTTTAAAAATACATTTACAACTGGCCTGGCTCCAGCAGGTTTCTTAATCAGTTCCCAAGTGTTGTTATCATGATGATATTTCATCTCATCATCCATGGCCTTCAGCCATTCAGTCTTATTTCGAATTCTCATAACTTCATTATGGTCTCTAGATTCTTCGTCTAGAACCTCACTTACAGAGATTAAGGCATAAGCTATAAGATCTGCATATCCAAGTCTCTGAGGTGGCTTGATGACTCTTCTTGTCCTATTTCTTGCCAATAGGTAGTCATCGATAGTTTCTTCAAATTTCTCAACATCTTCTACTTCTTCTTCTACTTCATCTGGGATACACAATTCAGCATCAACATGCTCCACCTTAACAGGAATCTCTCCATGTTCCAAATATTGGTCAAATATTTCTACACTTCGATCAACATCATCAGTTTTCTTGAAATCCATTTCAACTTCATTGAAAACTACATCTCAACAGGTGATACACCTCATGTGACCTGGCTCTAGGCACCATAACCTATAAGCTTTGACTCCTTCAGGGTATCCTATGAACATGCATTTTAAAGCTCTAGGTTCGACCTTGTCTTATGATGATAGGCTACGCAGACAAATAATCTAAATTTGTCGAGATCTGGTGGATGTCTCGACAAAACATCTTCAAGTATCTTCATATCTAAAGCAATCGAAGGACATCTATTTATCAGATATGTAGCTGTGAAACAACCTCATCCAAAAACACCTTCTTTAACCCAACACTAGTCAGCATGCATCTAAATCTCTCCAAAATAGTTTGATTAAACCTTTCAGCCAAACCAATTTGTTGTGGAGTACCTGTAGTAGTTTTGTGCCTTGCAATACCAGAGGCAACATAAAAGTTGTCGAAAGCCTCATTGAAAAATTTAAGGCCATTGTCGGTTCTCAGCCTCTTGACCTTTCTGCTAGTCTGATTTTCTACTAGAGTCTTCCAACTTTTGAAATTCTCAAATGTTTCATCCTTAGTCTTTTGGATGAATACCCATAACTTTCTGGAATAATCATCTATTATGGATAGAAAATACCTTGCTCTTGAATGTGATGGGCACCATGTAGGCCGCCAGAGATCATAATGGATGTAATCAAGAGATCCATGTGTTCTTTTTTTTTCCTTTGTTGAACTTCACTCTACAAGACCTTCCAAGTATACAGGGTTCATAAAATTTCAGCTTTTCGACTTTGTCTCCACCAAGAAATTTTGTTTCCCTAATTCGACCAGACCCATTTCACTGACATGGCCCAATCTCATGTGCCAAGTTTCTGTTTTCGAAAAAGGTTTTGTGTTTGCAATATTTGTCGAACCACTTATAACTTCCGCCTCAAGGGTATACAAGCCTTGCTTCTTCGCACCTGTCAAGACTTCCTTCGACCCCTTCATGACTCTTAGGATAATTTTCTCTCCTTGGAAAACATATCCTTTCTTATCGAATTCACCAAGAGAAATCAAATTTCTCTTCAACTCAGGTACATACCTGATTTTGTCAATAACTTTATTTACTCGTCATAGAGCTTGAATCTCACAGATCTAACACCTACAATCTTGCAAGCTTTATTGTTTCCCAACAATATATACCCATCATCTTGATCACATAATTCTTCGAACAAGTCTTTGTTTGGAGTCATATGACATGTGCAACTTGAATCCATAATCCATTATTTTCTTGAGTCGCTGCTTGAAACCACAAGAACATCAGATGAGTCGAAATCATCTTGATTAATGGCTAAATTTCCATTATCCTTACCTCCAAGATCTTTTAGGCGTTCAGGATACACCTTTCTTGTGTGACACTCCTTCTTATAATGATAGCATCGAATACCAGATGCTTCCCCACTATAAGACTTTTGATGACTTTTACCTTTCTTCTTGTCGAACTTACCATCCTTTCGTAATAATTTTCCCTTAACAGCCAAACCTTCACCAATTATCGAAGGTTTATGCTCTTTTTGTTCATTCAAGTCCTTAGAATACAAGGATGATTTAACTTTTTCAAAGGTCAAGGACTCCCTTCCATACAAGAGAGTTTATTTAAAGTGAGCATGTGTTTTGGGCAAAGCGCAGAACAACAATGCTTGATCTTCATCATCGATCCTCACATCAATATTTTCAAGATCAAGAATCAGCTTGTTGAATATATCCAAGTGCTCAACCAACACTTTGTCTTCAACCATCATGAATGAATATAAAGCTTGCTTCAGGTAGATTCGACTTATCAGTGATTTGGTCATGTACAAACTTTCAAGTTTCACCCATAACCCTGATGTCGTCATCTCCTTTGATACTTGTCAAAGAACCTTATCACCAAGGCTTAACAAGATTGTGCTGTGGGCTTTTTCTATCATGACCCTCTTTTATTTTTTCGTTAACGCAACACCCTTGGTCGCCGCTCCCTTCAACGCTTCCAAACAACCCTGCTAAACCAGTAGAGCTTTCATCTTCAAGCGCCACAGATTGAAATCGTTCACTCCGGTGAAGTTTTTAATCTCATACTTCGTTGAAGACATCTTCTCCATGCTCATCGCACCAATTTGTTGTGAAATACGATATGTTTGAAACAAAGTATAACAAGATTCTTCAAGGCAAGAAACCCAGAAGGATAGAAAAGAATGAAAAACACGAAGAAAAGCAAAGATTGATTATTAACTGTTATACTTTATTTTCTCTTTTATCAAGATTACAAGTACATAAGAATAACAAATAACTCTCTCACTCTAAATTAGGATTTACAGCATGTTCAATGTTAAAATTTATTTATAAAAAAACTCAAATTAGTATATAATTGAAGTATATAATTGAAGAGAAATATTTGCATGAAAGCAAATTTAAATCCATATTCTTAAAAACATTTAATTAAAAAGAGAGAAAATTTTAAATTTATTTTAAATTAATTTTTTTTATTGAATTTATGGAAGTGGTTGTGATAGTGTAGGAGAGAGAAAATTTATTTTTGTGTTTTAATTAAGAAAAAATTATGATTGATAGTGTAAAGTCGGATGTTAAATTTGTTTTCTTCCAAGTGTTTTTCATAATCGAAGGGTTGAAAGATTTAGAATAATAGATATTCAAATAAATAATATGTCATGTTTATATAAACTCAATAAAGTGGTATGTAACCTGTTGCAAATACACTCCAAAGAATTTACTAATTAACACAACTAAAAAAATTAAAATTAGTGAGAGTAGTATTTTATCACAAAAACACTAAAATTCCATCACAAATCAATTTAGTGACGGATTTTGTGACGTATCGTTATATGTATCAAATTTACACGTGGTAAAATATTAGTGAAGAATTTAACATTCCGTCACAAATGGACAAAGAATAATTATGTCACAAATTGTAGCATTTTGTCACTAAATATCAAGAAGAAAAACACTTCAATGCATATAATTCCCTCAATAATTAATGAGGGAATAAATTTATTCTGTCACAAATTTGTGACATTACCTGATTCCTTCACTAATTTACAAGACAAACAATCAGTGACCTTTCTTTTCTCTCACTAATTTACAAGACAATTAATTAGTGACATTTACTAATTAGTGAAATATTTAAAATTTCCAACCATACTTAATTCATTATATTAATAGAGCAAACGAATTTCCTATATTAAACAAAACAAAAATAATTCATACATAGTAAAAAGCCACATTAATAATGAACGTGTATTCTTGAAACTAGATATTACAACCAAAAGTGTGTTCTCAAAACAATCTTATAATGTACATCAAGTAGGAGAAGACAGAGTTGGATCCCAATATGGAGGTTGATGGTCTAAAGAAAAACTTTCAATAAATTGAAATGGATTAAAGAAACCAAAAGCTTAGTGTCATTGGAATATACAAGTGTTCTCATTGTGCAACATTTGCACAAAGCAACCATCAAAGTTACTATTCCTCTCAAATTGGGGTGAAACACAAATTAAAATAGTCTATGTGCCGTGGAATGAATTCTACTACACATATTATCATGTTACATTTCGTTTCATTCTAATCTATCATATCAAACTTAGTCTTGTGCTTATAAATCTTAGCCAATCCAACCCCTAAAATCTTGCTAACTCTTCGAGCATCATCTCACAAAAATTCAGTTGCAAACAAACAGTCCTTTACCAAATCAATGAAGAGAATTTCAATATGGAAAGCATAGTACGCGGGGAACAATCTCAAGACCAAATTAATCAAAATCAATCTCCCACATATAGCATGATATATATATTCAGTTGCGAAATTAATGTTGACACTCTATTATTACATCTATTCAGTCGAGAAACGGAGAAAATCGAACCAAACATCACTTAAAATCGAACCAAAACGATGTAAAAATCCTTCCTCGCTCGCCGTTTCAACAGTAAGTCACATTCTTCACTTATTTGATCCATAATGTGACTTATTCAAAATATAGGTTAGATTTGCTAGTTAGTTATGGGTTAGGTTAGGTTAGGGATTTTGATGAGTGGTTAAAATACATCATAGGGGTGGAGCTTGCAGAAGATGTTTGTGACTAAATTTGTTTATTAATATTAACAGACACACACAAGTAAACAGTAGAGAGTAGTCACTAGTTCGCTTTTCATTTACATTTTATCCTTGAATGAACAATCACAACTTTAACCGTTTGGTTATAATATATTGGCATATATGCATTATGTTGTGTATTAGTTTCTGTCTTTCTGACCAGGGTCATAACTAACGTGTGTTGTTGGAGTTCATTAGATATCTTAAATTTCATCTCCATTTCCTCTTCATAAGTTTACACCATTTTGTTCTATATTTATCGTCAGATGAGTAGTGCAGCAGGAAAGACACCTGCCCCAGGTCAGGCTATATCAGAAAGGAATCCAGGTAACTGTTGTCTGTCCTGGGCATCTTGCACCACTATTATCTTACACATCTTGCACCACTAGTCTTTTTATGAGACTCAATGTTTATGATGTTACACATACACATACATATAAATTTGTTTTGGATTCTACTCACAATGAGGTTATTTTCTCTCTGGGCATAATGGTATTTCAGGATTTCAAAGTCCCCTTCACCGTCACCCTGGAAGGCTCAATCAAGATCACGATCGAGATCAAGGTCGAGGTCTGTGCCTAGACAAAGACCAAGATCTGACTCCAGATGCCGTGGCAGGTTAATAGCAAAAACGGTTTAGCTTTAAAGGGGTTATATTTTATTTTATAAACCGACTTCTCTAGCTCTCTTTGTTTCTGACACTTTTTACTTTTCTGACCTCTCATTATCACTCTGGAATGGATGGTTTTTTTCTTCTTTTTCAGATCAAGGTCTCGGAGCCCGGAAAGGTTGGTCCTTTTTCTGTTTATGTTTTTAATCTTGTTGTGATTCATTGCCGAAAGCCATACTTCTTAACTAGTACTTCTCAAAGGGATAGTTTTGCTTTTGTGTTAACTTGGGTCTATTGATATGCTATTAACTTTCATCGTATCAATTGTATTGCAGGGCGGCCAATCCTACAAATCCTGGTAATACACTTTATGTTACTGGTCTATCTTCAAGGGTCACTGAGAGGGACCTAGAGGACCATTTTTCCAAGGAGGGAAAAGTGAGTAGCATATCGGTTTTCTATTCATTTATTCAATGGTTCTTTTCTTCAGTAGGTTGCTTCCTCCTGGAATAATTTTATTCAAAGGTTGTTTTTTCATCTATAGGTTGCTTCATGCTTTCTTGTAGTGGAGCCACGTACCCGAATTTCTCTTGGTTTTGCTTTTGTTACTATGGATTCCCACGAGGATGCTGAGCGGTGTATCAAGCATCTCAACCAATCAGTTTTACAGGGCCGCTATGTCACCGTAGAACGGGTAATGTGTTTACTTTTCACTTGTGACAGTGGTTGGTAAAACAAATGTACTTTTCTTTCTTATTAACTTGAAGATTCTCTGGTTATATTCAGACTATATGGCATCAGTTATGTTGGCAACAATCAGAGATGATCGGTTCATGTCCATGCAAATTTAGTGAAACTGCTTGATCAATGGCAAGCTTAAACAGCTAATCAAATGCAACTGATCAATGACAAGCTTAAACAGCTGATCAAATGCAATTGATCAACTAAATATAGCAACTTTGTTGGCCATCAACTTTACAACCTCAGTATTCACTTTCAATTCTCAACCATTCTTTACATCAGCTATGCTGGCAACAATCAGAGATGATCAGTTCATCGATGCAAATATAGCGAAACTGCTAACTGCAACTTCTCACTTATGTTTAAAAAGATGAAAACTAAAAAGATGAAAACTCTCCTGTTCTTTATTACTATTTTTAGTTAAAGTTCTTCATCTCTTTAAGTGTTCACAACATTATTATCATCTTCATTTGTTTTTTTACTATATTTCCCCCATATCTCGAACTCTAAAACTAATAAGTGAAAATGGGCGCTACAATGGACTCAATACACTCTAGTGGTTTGAATTTATGAACAAAAATTATCTATTATTTTGAGTGTGAGGTGTGATGTGCACCAGACTGAAAGTGGTTCTTAGAATGTAAAAAGTTGCGTCACTAGGGACTTTTTACATCGGGTATTACTACCAACCGATATAAAAAACTGGATCAATTTTTTTAAAAAATGTGCATAATAATTGTTTCTTACATCATTTTTATATTATAACCGATGTAAAAAAGGGACTTTTTACATCGGGTATTACTTCCAACCGATGTAAAAAATTACATCATTTTTTAAAAAAATATTGTAATAACTATTTCTTACATCAATCTTATATTATAACCGATGTAAAAAATGGACTTTTTACATCGGTCCCAGAACCGATGTAAAAAGTACCTGATTTACTATATCGCCTGACTTTACATCGGACCCAGAACCGATGTAAAAAGTCAGTTTCATCCGATGTAAAAAGTCATTTCTGCACTAGTGTGGTAGGAAAATATCTATTGTGGTAAGCATAACGTTACCACCGTGGGCACGATGCGTCCTAATATGCGTGTGTCAAACCCTTTTCTTTCCTATAAAAAGGTTGCATCAATCCTACTTTCTTTTATCTCTTCTTCTTACTCAAATTGCTTATGAAAATTCTTCTCTCACTCATAAATCTTGGCATATTTTCTTGAAAACTTTGGGTTGTGTTTCAATTTTGTGCAGATGGCTCCGAAGAGAAAAGGTTTCAAAAGGGGTCAACTTCAAGTGCACCTATCACTCCTCTTGTCCCAGCTTTTGCAAATCTAAAATTTCATACTGATGCCAATGAGGAGAAATATTTTAAACTTAAAGATTACCATGTAGTACGAGAGAGAGCAATTGATTTTACCAATTTGAAATGTTTTTCCGAAATAGTGGAGTTGCTACAACAAAGATAACGGGAAAGGTTTAAAAACTTAATTAAAGAAACAAACGAGACCATTGGCTTGGAGTTTTATGCAAATGCTTCATTTTTGAGCAATGATTCTTATACTTCATATGTAAGAGGTAAATCGGTTGACTTTTCTCCTGCTGTAATAAATTCTCTTATAAATCTCTGACGCCCAGAGGTATGTACTCTTAGCTCTTATAGAGACTACCTTCTTCAAATTGATAATAATATGAGGAAGTTGATGCTTGACATGTTTTTTTAAACCTAGGGATGAATAAGAAATGTGGCGTCTTCTTATACTTCCGCTTAAAATGATGGATTTTTGTCTCATGCCTAGAGCATGGGCATCATTCTTTGTGAAAACTCTAGAAGCAGCTTCTAATCAATCACAATTCATTGTTAAGCGGTATTTGGGTCTTTTAGATCTTTTAAATGGGGAACCCATTAATGCGGGGTATTTGATTGCTAAAATTATTAAATATGTGGCTAACTCAACACACAAAGCTTGTGGGAATTTTTGTATTATTAATGAATTATGCAGGTTAGCTGGAGTCACAACTCAACTTGTCGACAAAATGACAAGTCCTATGGAGCAAATTAGCACACCACAATTAAATGGTTTCACAAAAATAAAAGAGTAACATACGCATAAATAGAACAAGAAAATAGTTAAGTAAGAGACAATGTTAAAGGAAGTTCCTCGAACATCCTGGAAGCACCACAAGAAGAAAATCAGCAAACCATCGAATTCCACAGAAAATGGAAGCATATGCAGTGCGGATGAAAAGGTGGGAGACTGAAATTTCAACAACCTTGTATGTTGAACTACCACATATTGCACCAACATTCGAAGACTTCTACAACCAACAACAAAATAACATGCATGTGAGAGATTTAAGAAGTCGGTTTGAAACTTTAGAAGATTTGGAAAAGTACTTCAAGGATCAAGATAGTAAAAAAGAAAAAAAGAAGAGAGCATAATGGAAAAGCCAAAATAGAAACTTTCACAACTCGGTAAACAACTTGCGAGAATTTTTCAACATTGACAATGAATAATAAAGATAAAGGAACAACTTTAAATTTCTACAATTTTGATTTTAGTTAAGACTACCTATGAGAAATCACTACTTATGAGTATTTTCCCTTTGTAACTTTTATGTTTGCTTGGAATTAATATACAACTCTGCTTCTGTTATTTCTTTCAAAATTATATGTAAATACAATTGTAGCATTGAATAGATGATCCAAGAGTACCATAAAAAAAGCTATGGTCACCAGGAAGGTGACTTACTAAGAGAAAGCAAAAGATGGAAATTGAATTAACAAGCTTGTACTCAATCTCTAGATACCTCAGCTAATAAGGTTTGAGCCAATTATTTCCACTTTTTATAAAATTCGTTCTATGAGTGTATTCATTCTTTACTATTTTATCAGGTTTGATCTATGTCCGGTTTTATTTATCTAGTTTGATTTACACACATCAAGGCAGTTTTTTATTTAAACTCTGAGCATTTTAAGCCAACCTAAAATATTATTGAATATACTCTGCTAACCAATTTGAGCTCGAGCCTTTTGTTTCAGTGACAAAGCCAGATATGTTAGCCAAGTGACTTGAAACATATAACCTTTCCACCCTCTCTTTCGAGTTAGATAGATTTTTTTAAAGTTTTCCTGTCATAGGTTAAAGAACAAGTTTGGGGTTGCTCTTGAAAGTGAGCAAAGTCTAAGTTTGAGGTTGGCCTATTAAAGATAATGGTCAAAATTTTCAAATAAATGTTGACAAAAATCAAGAAGTAAAACAACTTCATTAAAAAAAGAGAAAAATAATAAAAAAGAAAGGGACCATAAAAATATGGATAAATCTCTAGTACCAGTTATAAGGAAAAGATTTGGTATGATACTGATAGGAGAACTAGGAACCTAACTCCAAAGGTATAAACCTACTTTCCCAAAAATATCCCACCTAAACCTAAGCCACGTTACATCCGAAAAATACCTCAAAGGATGTGTGTTTTTATCAATGTGATGAATTTTATTAGAATATGATCAAACTCAATATGAACAGTTTTGCATGTTGATTGACTGATCAGCATGTCAATTGAAAAACTTATAGGGAAATGAGAGACAGTTTGAGTACTTGCAATAAGTTGAAGAGGTTTCCTAATTTTTTTGGATTAAAGTTAGAAATTTGAAAGGTGATAAGGTAAAAATAAGATGGAGGTGTTCAATTGTTTCTATTGTATTTTTGTATTTCTGTTTGGAATTTTCAGTTGCAGGCTAGTTACTTGATGAAAAGCAATAAATTAATTTTTGGAGTGTGATGACACTCTGTCATTACATATATTCATTCGAAGAAACAGAGAAAATTGAGCCAAATATCACTTAATTTGATGAAGAAAAACCCAAGAACGGAGTAAAACGGAAAAAGTATGAATGAATAAAGACTTGGGAAAATTTTGGCTGAAAAGGACCAAAAAACATGTAAAACAGTAATAATCGCGCGTGCGATGCTTAAAAGGAGAACATGTGTCATTCATGCTAGAATCGCACACGCGGTAGGAATTGATCAGTTGAATCACTCGTGCTAATCAACCTATCGTGCGAGCGATTGGCCTTTTTCTGTGTACTTTTCGGATGCCCGCCAACAACTTTAAAAGGGGAAGGGGGTGGCACTTTTTCAAGGGTTCTGGATTTTTACACTGCAAGTACGATTTTACAATATCGGAAGGCATATTTGGAGCGCATTTGGAGCCATTGGAGGCCAGGTCTTCTAGGAATCTTTTATGTAAACCTCATATAATTTATTGGTGTTGTAATTTTAATTATGAGTAGTTAAATTCTCATAGGTTAGGGTTTGTTTTTATGAACCTTTTTCAATACTCTTGTGTCATACTCCAAATTTATCCGCCGTTAGTGCTACCGTCAAATTTATTTTTGAATTTGAGTTTTAAAATTCCTTTGGTTTAATTACATTAATATTTTGGGGTTTTATAAATGCTCGTTCTCAACTCCAGTTAAAAATATAATAATTTATTTCAAATTATTGTATTTTTAAATAAAAAATACTTTCTCGTCTTCATGTATTTTCAATTGACTTTTTATTTTTAATAAGTAACATAACACAATTGGTTAAGAATGAAGCTTGCAAATATGAGGTTAAGGGTTCAAATCTCTCATGTATTTTCTATTTCTTTTTGTTACTAATTTTTTTTCCTTTTTTGGAAATTGGGCTTCAGCTTTTCATATATTTTGGATAACTTAGTCTCTAAGTTTTTTCTAACCTAATTCAAGTCTATAAATAGGACTCTTATTTGTCCTAAAAAGTCATCCACAATTCATCAAGAATTTCACCATTACGCTACACAACCACGAATTCTACGATTCTACACATTTCTTTTCAAATTTTTCTTTTTCAATAGGTGTTATGTTTATTCTTGGCCGATTATTAATAAATTAATTGTTAGACAAACATATGTCTAAATTAATTTAACACGAGGCCCCCTCCCTCTTATTTTCAATTTTAATTTTTGTTTTGTTAGCGTTTAAATCATATGATGATTATCTGATGGTATGTTTTTTATCCAACAAATTACAGGAGGTGAAAGATGAAAGAGTTACAGGAGGTCCGGCCAGCTTGAGGAAGAAGATGAAGTACAGGGCT